TGTATTAATAGCAGTTCTGGTGGTCATCTTGGCATTTCACACGCTTGTTGTTTTTATTTATAAAGCTACCCACTTTTTTCGCAATCGTTTTCACTGCGCATGCCTGCGGTCTAACAGATCGAGAAGGCGTCGAGGGTATGACGAAATAGAGAGCACGGCAACCGACTCAAGCCTGTCAATTGAGACCCAAAGACGGAGGAGCAATCTGAACATAATATTTCAACGTCGTTCCCAGGACGTCTCATCTTCCCGCCCTCCCGAAACGAAGTTGACAACATCTGACTCATCCGAGGAAAGCTGGGAACATGCAGGTCAGTGCTTACACCTAAGCTCCTTTCATAGTCTGCTGGCAGCCGGTTTTTTCTCTGAGGGTCACTTAGAAGGGTGTTTATCCATCGCAAACGCAAAAGGGCGGTATTCCCGATGTCGAGTAGGGAAGAAGGCGAGACAAGAAAGGCGAGACGCGCGTACCGAGTCCATGTCTAGTCCCATTCCCCATAAGGCTGAAGTGTCTCGCCTCATAATTCCGAAAATCAATTTCGAAAGAAAAACAGACTGCCAGCTTACAAGGCTTAGGTGTCTGTACACCCCCCTGCCCCCTCCCTCTGCCCCCTCCGTGCCTGCCCACCCTACCAGACCCTTACCGCTACGGGCATATAACAATTCCGAAATCAACATTTCGGATCGTAAGGGTTATTGGACATTGTTTTCCTCTACCATTCTATACGCTCCTTATACGCTCCTTAATTAACATTTCTATGACCCGTGTGTATTCGGGTAGTGAATGCAACATTTATGTGACTCCTCTCCATATACCCTAGAACACAACACAATGCGCCCGGCCAGGGCTCAGACTCGGATCCGGAGTCGAACGTACTAACCATGAGACCACCGCGCCTCCACTTCCTCTCATTTAGCGAGTCTCATTTATTAAACCAAAGATAGAGTGTAGTCGAGTTCTACTGATTTTCATGCCCTGTCTGAAGCTTTCTACTTGGTTTTATTTATTTCCTAGGTTGAGATCAGCACAGTGCGTCAGACTATCCAAAGGTTAATAGCAACAGAAAGTAACCAGAACCGGGAATGGTTGTTGGACATGATAGATAGCTGGCTACTGAGTAGGATAGAATGAAACTTAGACTCAAAACACGCCAAACAACGTTTTTATCCTTCCATATATTAATCATTGTTAGTGCGCTATGATGTTTTAACACGCGCCAAGAAGAATTTTTTATTTATCGTGTCGATAAGCCAGTCCTTTACATTTGCAAATTTGCAATGCGGAAATGCTTTAACTGCTTTGCAATAAATATAGAATATATCGTTCATTAAAACCAGGCGCTCGGTTACTTGGGGAGTGCAAAAAGCAAGAAAATCACTGCACACAAAGACGAGGCCTCCCGTTCTCTTTCCATATGATCACCACGATTGCTACAGAATATAAAACTGCCCGAGACGGCCTGACCGTTCATCCTGTTAAACGTATCATAGCAACGGTCACTACAATCTCTAGAGAGTGGTATCCATATGATCTCAACGACCAGCTGGAATATTTTTTCCAGTGATCCGAAACGCCAGAAATCGTAGATTGTACCAGGTGTTAGTGAGATTCTCGAATTCTCGCGTGAACACTAAATCACTAAGATGATATATACCCCAAATTTATATAGGCCTTGTCCACACTACGCCGGAGAAATTTGAAAACGGAGATTTCACTCCGAAAACGCATCAAATGTTTTGCGTTCACACTACGCGGAAGAAAGCTGAAAACGCAACAATCACCGGTCATTTTGGATTAGTTGATTGTCGTGACGCCATCGTTTTCGAAAAGGGTCAGTTTTCAAAATGTTTTCCGTCTACACTAAAACAAAAAGACCGCGTTTTGAAATTCCTCCGGTTTGAAGAGCATTTTCGAAAAGCTCCGTTTTCGTGACGGATTAGTGTGAACGGTAGGCTTTACTGTAGAAACAAAGCTGCGTTTTCAAATTTCTCTGGTGTAGTGTGGACGGGACCTCGAAGTTTTTGTAATAGTATGTTCTTTAATGTAAACATCGAATAAGTAATGTTCTACTTCTTTATCAGCGCTCAGTAAAAATATGTTTGTAACTATTGGATCACATCTACTGTTCCCTCATTGCCTCTTTCCTTCGTTTCTGTTGGTTCCTTCTCGTTCTCACTTTGTTAGTTTTGTCTCACCTATTACAATCG